GTCGCCGGAGATGACTACGACAGCGGTGTCGGGCGCCGGCTGGACGCGCGGGTAGGAGGGCTCCGGCTCATCCTCCTCCTGCTCGACCTCATCCATGTAGACGAACATCTCCGCCTCCTCCATGGCCTCTTGCGCCTCCGTCTCCTGCCTGCAATGGCATCTGGCCTCTGCAGCCGACTCCGACCGGAGGGAATCGATGATGCCCTGCTGCTCCGTGCAGATCTGTGTCGCCGGCGTCCCCCACATCCTCCTCCTCCTCCTCCTCCTCAACCTCCAACTCCTCCTCCGGATCCACTGCATCCGGAGGTAGCCCCGCAGCGATCCGGGCTTCGAGCCTAGCCCGGACCTGCTCAAGGAGCTTGAGCCGGCGCTCTGGTGTCAAAAATGGCTCACTCCTCACCCGGCGGCGTGGGGGCATGGCTACTAGGCGGCCGGGTGGCGTGGAAAGTTGTGGCGGCGGCGGACAGGCGGAGGCAAATGTGGATGAATGGTAGGGTTTCGGTGCCGTCGGTCGACTTACATAGCCGGGCCAGGCAGTACGCGGCCCGTTGGAGCGGCGCCACACGGCACCACTAGTTCGACGAAGGAGATGAGCTTCGGACCGTTGGGTTTTCGGGCGTTTCCGAGTGGGACCCCGCCGTCAGTCCGATGTGGCGGGCGCGCCCGGGAGCCCCCATATTTGGGCTGGATATGAGGGGTGCCAGTCAGCCCGGGCGTTTGAGAGCCGTTTGAGGGGTGGGCGTCTGGATCAAAAAATCGTGACCGGACAGTGACCGGGCGGCCCGCCCCGGCGTATGAGACGGGTTTGAGGCGCCTGGATGTAGATGCTCTTATAGAACACTTTTGTCTACGTAGAAGAGAGAGACATGAAAAAAAAGTCAAAGGAATAGGCAGAGCCTGCCTCTTGCCTCTGTGTGTGCTTCTAGATAAAAATATTTAAGGAAAGAAAAAAGATAAAGAGAAAGTAAAAAAATAGCTGTAAAACCTTTTAACCAACCTTATAGTCAGCCCTATTATATAAATAATTACTAATGCTAACACTTCTTTTTTCATGATGCTAACACTTGATCATACGGCACACTCATATAGCCAGCGTGTGATATGCGTCCCCCAGGATTACTGGCAGACAACAGTCGGTAGAAGGTTCCGTTTTGGCTTTGTGCTCCCATCACCCTCATTTTCTTTAATGATTAAACGTGCGTCCCCCAGGATCAATATCAGTTTGCAAAAATGTATGCTTGCTAAGAAACAAATTAATTTGGGAAAACTTCCAAAACTGTTACTTCATCCTGTCCTGGCATCTCCATGGCGCGACTTCTCCCGCTAAGTCTAGGTCGCTAACTAACCCCCACATGCCCAGCCCCAGCTAGCCGAATTCAATTCATTTTCAGTACTCGCTTTGACGAGGACGGCGCCACACCGACACTGCACGATCTCCTCTCTATCAATTATTTGAAATTTTGGCCACCTGCGCGAGCGTAATGACAGTAAGTATTAAGAGCAACTCCAATGCAGCTATCCATTTCGTTTGCCGACGCCCGTTTGGGTCGGCACGAACAAATGTGCTGGCCCAACGCGTCGACGCATTCCCAAAACGCGTCCACTTGGCGTGTGGGCGGATCCACTTGCGGCCGAAATGTGTCGGCGATGACGCACCGCGTCCTTTCGGTGTCCGCCATGTACCCACCTGGCGGACATCCAACTACCGTGGCCGTCTTTATTAGTGACGACCGCCCACCGCAGGCCCATGCGTCAACGACGGCGATCGACCTTTGTTAATCTGAGCGTGCGGTGGGGAGCAGTTGTTCGCCTTCGAGCATGAGGAGGCCCGCAGGTGTGGCGTCCGCGACGTGCGGCATGGCTCCCCGTCGCCAACCCTCGTCATGCAGGGCGAGGACTAGGAGGCAGAGGCCGCCTACCAGGCGGCGCTGGCGGCAGTCTTCCACGAAAGCGAGGAGGAGGAGCGCCGCAAGGAGGAGGAGGAGGCGTAGCAGGAGCGCATGGCGGAGGCCATGCCGCTGTCTGCGGCCGGCGACTGCGTCGTGTCACCGTTGAGGCCGCCGTTCCCCGTCAAGGCCGAGCCGGCGCCGACCCCCACTGAGCCCATCGAGCGCTGCTCTTGGACCGGGGTGGTGCGCGTTAGCACGCCGCCGGTCTGGCTGGGGGCGTCAGCGGAGCAAGAGCAGGCGTGCTTCGAGCAATGGTACCAGCAAAGGCTGGCTGAGGAGCACCGTGAGGGGGAGTACCTCGAAATGCTGGAGCGCGACGCCGAGGAGGAGCGCCGCGAGGCGGAGGAGGAGGAGGAGTGTCGTGCTCGCGCTGGTCCAGCCCAGCCGGCAGCGGACAACGTCGCTAGAGCCTGGTCGACGGCATTCCTGTGGGCTGGCCCGGCGCCGACGCTCATCACCTCACCGGCCCCGACGCCGCCGCCGCCTTGGGCAACGCACCTCCTAATAGTGTGTAGTTTTATTTAATGTTTTATTTAAGGTAATAGTGCACTATCGCCGGCCTTTGTGGCCGGCATTAATGTTTAATTAACATCTTTTCAAAATGTGTGGTGGAATGTTTTTTTTCGCGCCGGCTAAAGAATGGGTCGGGCCAGCATCGGGCGCAAGCGCCGACCCGAATGCAAAAGCGGACATGGGTGTACGCCGAGCCAACCCAAACAGACAAAATGCGGATAAAAGCGTCGTCCGTTTGGATCGGCGCATTGGATTTGCTCTAAGCATATTGTAAGATGCAACTAGTCTGATCCGCTCCCATGGATGCGCCATCATCATTGGTAACGACCCTCGTCGAATCAAAGCTTTCACCATAGCCTTATTCCTCGCCACCTCAATAGACCCGGGTAGGGGGTAAGCCGATGCGAACCTGTGAGACCGAGCCACGTGGCTCCATTCGTATTCATCAACGAGGATCACGCCAACAAGGAGCAAAAGGATAGCACGGCCATACAACACCATGAAGGACTACTGGAGTCGAAGCCGGCACCACACGGCCCAGATCCATCCCACAACTCTGATGCGCCCGCCGCGCATCACCACCACCGCACACCATGGCGACAACAATACCACAACGCCGGGTTGAGATCCTCTGCAGTACTGTACGGTGCTGTAGTGTACAGCACCACACGGTACTGCAGAGGATCCTAACCCCACAACACCATGTAGCTGCAACCCCGGCAACCGCGAAATTGCCACAAACACGCAGTAGTCGTACCAGCAACCACCATGAGAGTGGCCCACCATGCCCAGATCGGGCTCGCAACGCAATTGCACGCCGCACATGCAATCGTCGCCACCGCGGCTCCCCGTCGGCAGTAGCAAGCAGCCACACTGTCACAAACATCGGAAGCTATCCCAAGAGGTCAGGATGAGATCGAACACCTTCGAATCGGGATCCCAAGTCTACGCGTTGTCGCCACCTTGCTACTGAGCCACCCGCAGCACTAAACGTGATGATGCAAGACACACAGGACACAGCGCCAGCCGCCGCTGCGAGGCCCCCAACTTGTGGGCAAGCACACTACAAAGCGGAGAGCAGATCCCACTGTCGCCGTCTCTGTGTGGGCTTTGCATGTTCGAGGCTTCTGACAACGATGAGAGGAAGGAGGAGAGGAAGGGGTTGCGGACGGAGAGCT